CCTTGGGTGTTTTTGTTTCATATTCTGCAATTTCTTGATGTTTGGTGCTTAAACTTGTATGAATTTGCTAAAAGTGAATGATATTTAATGATTCGTTGCTTGTTATCTGCTCTGCCGTTGGCCTACTGTCGGACCGAATCCATCTGCTTTGCTGCCGCTGGCCTGCTGCCAGATCGGATCCATCTGCTTTGCTGCCGCTGGCCTGCTGCCGGACCGGATCCATCTGCTTTGCTGCCGCTAGAGCGATTTGCTGCTGCTACAAAGCCATCTGCTGCCATCTGCTGCCATTGCTATTGCTACCGTTCCCCGTGGGGAACGGGAACGGGAACGGGGGGCAAAATCTACCCCCCGTAAAAAATCCCCGCGGGGATCCCCGTTCCCGTGACTCACGGGGACGGGGATGGAGAAGGGGTCCCCGGCCCCGCGGGGCCCCGTTGACATCCCTAGTTTTGATATTATGTAAATAGTTATAAATTATTAGTTTTAATTAAATAAATTAAATATATTAACTTATATATAATAAAAGTGATATATTATTAAATATTAATTATTAACTATCAATTATTAAATAATTATTAGGCATAACCTGACGTATAATTTAAATGATTGATTATTTTTATTCATATGAAATATGTGATATTGAATATATCCACCAACACCCAAACCAGTGGCGGAGATGATGGAGTCAAATTTATCTATACTTAAATTAAATTTATGTTTAAATTATTTTTTTGCCTATTTTAGTTATGTTAATTTAATTTTTATATAAAGTTTAATTTGATTATTTTATTTAATAAATAGGTGATATTAAAAAAAATTTCTTCCTATTAAATATTTTCACTTATATAAAACAATTCGAATGTCATTAATTTGTTTATATAAAATTCTAAAATTAATTAATATAAAGTTGATGAAATTGGCTAACTAAAATGAACCAAAGGGAATAACATATAATTGTAAAGTTGTAAAATTATATCTAAAATCAATCTTAGCTATGTTTAATATAAAATATATTGTCTTTCAAAATTTTTTATGACTAATGAATAATTAACTAGTTGTATTTATGAAAAAGAAAAAATAAAACACATCTAAAAAAATGTAATAAATTTAGAAACATATCAAAAATTTATATAGTAAATGATACAATAAAATAAACAGATTTGCCTTAATAAAAAAATTTAAGTTAAATATGAAATTTTAATATTTGACCTAGAAAAAAAATAAATATTAGTAACTAAAATAAATATTTTAGACAAAATTTAGACATTACAAGGGAAATGATCAAAGTTTAATTTTTTTAGGAAATAGCAAATAAATATTAAAAGTTCAAAGATTTTCTTATCAATTTTTTG